AAAAAAAAAAAAAAAAAAAAAAAAAGGGGCCCCAGTAAAGAAGGCTTTCATGCTATTGCACAAACCCCAGCCCTTTTCACTTAGTAACTTGATCCTGAAGTTACTTACAGCCTCCGAGCCTCATCTTTAAAGCGGCCACAGTAATTCAGTCAGACCTGGTGTGGAGCCCAGGCTTTGCTGTCAAGGAGTCTACTCCTCAACACAGGCCAGCAGGAGGGTTGTGAGAATTAACAAGATGAAGTCTGTAAAGCACCCAGCACTGTGCCTGGATCACAAGGAGGAGCCAGAGAGACGAAAGCTTAATAAACAGTATGATGTTGCCAGGATGAAAACCAAACTAGATTCTTTGTTAGCTCCATGATTTAATGCATTTTGTCCTGTCTCATCCTCACAATAATCTTGGGACTTTTATGCCTACTTCTTGCATAAGGAACTGGGTTTCAGAGAGGTTAAGTGATTTGCTCAAGGTCACAGTTAGCCTGTGGCAGGGCCAGGATTGTAACCCAAGTCACCTAACTCCACATCCAGTGTTTATTCCACCATAGCACACCTGTCCCCTAAGCAGCGAGGGGGAAGGAGATAAACTTGGAAGCCAGCTTAGAAACCGTACTGGAATGCTTGATGCTGTAGTAGGCGTCATGTGATATCAAGGAACCTAGGCCAGCTTTTACACCAGGCACGCTGGGGCTCAAATCCAGCCCAAGCCACGTATCAGCTTGGGACTTTGGGATGGTTAACCTGAATTTTTCCCTCTTTTAATTTTTTATATGCAAGAAATGCATATTTTTAATATGCAAGAAATGCATATTAAATGCCTAGCATAAAACAGGCTCTCAATTAATGACAGTTGTTATTGCTACTGAGTGCAAAACCTAGTTCTAAGCTTCCTAGCAGCCCAGGCACAAGGGGAAGAGTTGGAACTCCAGTCTTGGACACACCCCTAACCCCAACACTGCTCCCAAGTCAGTATTTTTTCCTTACCTTCTGCCCAATCACTGGGTACTTAAATACCCATCACATGTCAAACTCTGCCCTGGGCTAAGCTACCTAGAGTAGGCCTCTCTGTAATCCTTGTTTCTCCCCTACCAGGATTCCTGGAGAAGGAGCGTTTAGAGTACATCTATCACAACCAGACCGTGTCCCAGCAGATCGGGCTGAACCTGTACTACGCAGCACCACTGTCCATCTGGTGGCAGATCCCTCAGTACCTGCTCATCGGGATCAGTGAGATTTTTGCCAGCATCCCAGGTACCCTGGATGCCTCCCCTACCCTCGCACCAGTGATGGGCTCTGCCTAGGGCTGCCTTGAAATCAGAGATCTCAGGGGCACAGCCATAAGGCTCATCTGCAAGGAGGAAGGTGGGGTCTTCTGAGCGCAGTCTGAGGGGCGCAGTCCTCCACTGGGGACTTAGTTGTACCTGGTTTGTGCCAAGACTGTGATCGGCACTGGGGGTTGGAAGTGAGACACTTTGCATGCCAACTTCCCCCACTATCCCCTTAATGTTCCCCACCCTGTGTGTCTGTGCACTTGCTGTTGCCGGTTTCAGACTGAAAGTGAAGCCCTATTTCCCCTTTCCTTCCGAGCCTCAATGCCATCTTCTCCACGAGGCCCTCTCCAAGGCCCCTGGCCAGAAGGGTTCACTCCTCCCTTTGTTCATCTATCACAGCACACAGGCCACTGTGTTGTAATCATTCAGTTGTATGTTTGTCCCCTCGCTGGGCTGGGTGGGCTTTTCAATCAGCCAGGCAGCAAGGGGTTTCTCTCTGCTCCAGGCCCAGGGCTGGGCTCAGATAGGACTCATTCAGGGTTGGGGAAAACAGTCGCGCTAACAAACCCAGTGGAGTGCTGTAGAAGCGGCCATACGGTGTTGGGGAAGCCTTGGGCTAAGATGGGATGGTGGCAAGTACAACAGGTGGCAGGAGGGATCTCACAGGCAGAGGGGAGAGCAGAAGCAAAGAGCCAGGCCTTGTGGGGGGTGTGGGGGAGAAGGCTGGGGAGGCACAGGGTCCTGGGGGCCAAGCCTGCATGTTGAGGTTTCTCCTGAGAGCAACAGCCACCCCTCAAGGGGACTTTGGCAGGGACAGGACTCCATTGGAGATGCGTCTGGCAGTGTGAGAACAGGAGACTGGAGAGTTTAAGAGGCATTTGCAGGGGCTGAGCAGGAAATGAAATGGCCAGGCCTGGGGTTCAGTGCAGGGCAGAGATAGCAGAGAGGAGTGCAGACATTGAGAAGAAACTTCTGAAGTTGAATCAAACAGGTTCACAGATGACAGTGACGAGGGGGCAGAGTTAGGGAGAGAAGGGGAAGATACTACTGGCTCGGAGGTGCCCCTGACCTGGGAGACCCAGGCGGAAGGGGAGGATGGGAGGACAGCACCAGGGGAGTGCCCAGGTGGAGGTGTTCAGCCACCGGGTTAAGGAGCAGGGCGGAGGCAAGGGGCCATCAGAGCCACTGGAGTAACTGGGCAGTTGTCCAGGGGAAGCCAGGATGGGGACTTGGTGGGGGTTAGGGGCAGGCTGCGGCCCAGCGAGCTGGGGCCCATCATTATCTGCTCCCCCACCGGCCCCTGGGGCTGCCCCCTCCCTCTCTGCAGGCCTGGAGTTTGCATATTCAGAGGCGCCCAGCTCCATGCAGGGGGCCATCCTGGGCATCTTCTTCTGCCTATCTGGGGTGGGCTCGCTGCTGGGCTCCAGCCTGGTGGCACTACTGTCACTGCCGGGGGGCTGGCTGCACTGCCCCAAGGACTCTGGTGAGTGTGGGGGCCTCCCTGGGGGTGGGACACTGATGGAAGGATGCTTGGAAAGGAGGTGGCGACTAAGTACTTTCACCTCGGGCAGAATGAAATAGCAGGTGGGAGTCGGGGGAATGAGGTTATAGCCCAAATCTGGCCAAGCGCCCACAGTGTGGCCTCCCCTCCTTGGGCCTGTTGCCCTGAATGTCAAAAAGGAATCCACGAGCTCCGTGGATGCCCAAGGCTCCTTCCTGATTCTGGAACTCTGTCACCCTGGCTGAAGGGTCACCTTTCTCTATGGTATTTGTGTTTTAAGCCCCTGAAAGAATAGCCAACAGGGATTTATAGACACCACTGGAGACGCCACGGGCAGCCACATGCTTTAGGCGCCTCAGATCCCACCCACCGGCCAGTGGTTAGGCTGCTGCCCGGGGGAACCCTGCCCTGACTCCAGGGCCAACCCCTCCCTTCCCCAGGGAACATCAACAATTGCCGGATGGACCTGTACTTCTTCCTGTTGGCTGGCATCCAGGCCACCACGGCTCTCCTGTTTGTGTGGATTGCTCGCCGCTATGAGAGGGCAGCTCAGCGCCCGACCGCCCAAAGCTGTCCCAGCAGGGACCGGGGCTGAGCACGCCCCCTCCCCTGTTCTGGACACAGACAGCAGCAGCCCTAGCCGGGGTTTCCTTCCCAGTTTATTCTGTGCCCAACAGTAGGGTGAAATGTTCCCATAAATAAGGGGCAGGGCCCTTCCTCACAACCATGGTCCATGACAAGGGGCAGGGCAGGAGGGCCGGGGGGGAGCCCTCACAGGGGCCGAGGCAGGGGGCTTGGGCCAAGAGGCACCAGAGGATGAGAGCAGGCCGCCTGGGCGGGTGGCTGCCGAGGCCGGGCGGGGGTCAGGAGCTGCCCCGGATCCTCTCCATGTAGCTGCGCAGCTCCTCGGGGTCCTTCAGCCCCATGTCCTCACACACCCAGCGGATGTCCTCCTCGCCCGCCACCAGGATGGACTGCACAGCAGGGGCCCCTGCAGGCTCCTTGGGCAACTGGGCTTGGGGAGCTGGTGCGAACGTCACAAACTCTACCCGCTTCCGCCGTCCCCCAGCTTCCTTCCTGGCCAGGGTGCCCGAGGAGCTGGTGGTGCCCCCAGCAGGTGCCTGGGCCAACTCCCCCCTGCCCCCACTCTCACAGGGGCAGCCCCCTTCCCCCTTGGGTGGGCCAGGGGGCTGCCGGTCCAGCTGGCGGCTCAGCTCTTCCTGGTCGGTGCCCAGCCAGACCCAGTTGTGTGGCTGGGGAGAGGCAGGGTCAGTGGCACCGTCGGGAGGCTCCTTGCGCTGGTAGCGCAGCACGAAGACCACCCCGTTAACCAGGAAGATGAGGATGGCTAGACAGAAGACGCCCAGGAGGGCGTACATGCCCAGCTCGAGTTCAGTGATCTGCTGAGGGGCGGGGACCATCTCCTCCTCCTCCTCCCCCGCAGCCTCTGCCTCCTCATTCCCGGCCTCCTCTGTCCGCTCGAACTTGCCCCTCACACCCCCGCTGTCTCCCACGCTGCCTGCCACCCACCGTTCACCACCCAGGCTGGCGCCCGTGGCTGCCGAGCTCTGAGGAGGGCTGGGTGGCAGGGCAGGGGCCGGCGTGGGAGCAGGGGGCAGCCCTAGCCAGGCAGTGCCGGAGGCCAGGGGCACACGGTGGCGGCCCCGGCGGCAAGGCTCAGGTGCGTGCAGAGCCACATGCAGGGGCAGCCCCTCGGCGCCTGCCCCACTCACCACCACCCCAAGCTGGGCACCCCGCTCCTCAGCTGGCAGGATGGCACCAGGCTCCTCAGCCACGACGGACAGTCCCAGGTCCCGGTGGTCGTAGAGCTCAGCAGGGGCCAGAGTGTGGTCAGAGAAGGACAGCCACAGGGAGAGGGCCACCTCCTGTGGGGCACACGGACACAGGCAGAGACACGCGAGGGCAGGCACGCATGCACACAGAGACCACTCCCACAGAGACAGGCCACACGGAGGAGAGACCAGAGAGAGAACAGACACAGGCAGATGGACAGAACACAGGGAGAGAGGGGGCATGTGTCAATCACCTGTCACTCAGCCCCAGGGTCTGAGTCATCAAGAGGGTCCTCGGTTAGAGCCATCTAAACCTCCCACTGCCACACACTCCAGCCAGCCACTGCTTCATCACCTCCAGTCGCAGAGAACTCACTACCTTATAGCACAGTCAGTCCTCGTTCTGGAAACCCTAGGGTGAGGGCTTGAGGTACCTCCCATTCCCCCCATCATCAGTCCCCATCTGAAGATGTTCACCTCATCCCTCTGACCCCCGGCTGTCACCTGCTTTGGGGTGGGAGGGGCTGACTGTGCCCAGCACGTGGCTGTGACCTCCCCAGGGTGGGCAGTGCCCCGGCTCAGGGCCAGTGTGATGCCCATCACGGGCTGCACCTGCAGCTCCAGCACCGAGACCTTGTCATCCGTCACAGTCAGTGCCTGTTCGCCCAGGATGGAGTCAGACAGTGGGGAGCGCACCTGGGGGTGAGAGGGCGCTGGAGGGGTGCTCCTCCACAGACAGCCTCTACCCTCCGAGCCCCGGCACCCCACAGGGGGATCTGTTTGTTCCCAGCATCTGCGTAGGCTGCTCTCCCCTACCCTTTGTACCCCAACCGTATGTCCTCTACATACCTGGACCCCAACTCCACACCTAGGGGGAGTTTCCTCCTCTCTCAAGACCTGGCCCCCACATACCCAACCCCAGCCCTTCACACTTGGAGGACTTCCCCAGCACTTTATTCTCACCTGATCCCCAATCCCACTGAGCTCATACCTCCCCTAGTACACTCGTCCCCTCTGGCACCCTTCACACCTGCTGATGAACATTCTAGGGCCAATTAATTGTTCTCAGGGGGTCTGCTCACCTCAATGGAGGTGATGCCAGGCTCCCGGCCCACCAGGACATGGCCGTGCTCCAGAGAGGCCACACGTACATCCTGCACGCGGGCGTGTGGCGCCACGAGGTGGGACACGTCCAGCAGCCAGTCAGGGCCGAGCAAGTGGGTAAGGCGGTGGCCGCCATCCAGCGGGTGGGCCGCGAAGGGCACAAGGAAGCGCACGCCAGCGCGCTGGTACTGCAGGCGGCAGCTGCGGGACCGCCTCTCTGACTCCTCTGCCACAGGGGCAGCCTCAGGCTCCGGTACCCTGGGGAACAGCGGGTGGTGTCAGCGTCAGCGAGGGCCCTGCCTCCTGGAGACCCCAGCGTCTACTGGGCGCGCTGTCCTCTGCCCACAGCTGCACCTCTGGGGTCAAGCCCTTCCACCTGCAAGCTGCGCCCCAGCCCTGTTCTTTCGGAGCTCTGTGCCTGCAGGGGGGGGGGGTGGGCCCTGCGACACCATCCCCTCTACATAGTGAGCTAGTTACCACCTCAGGCTTTCAGAACACTGCAGTGAACAGAATGCACACCCCTGCCTTCATGGACCACCTGCAAGCTGCGCCCCAGCCCTGTTCTTTCGGAGCTCTGTGCCTGCAGGGGGGGCGGGTGGGCCCTGCGACACCATCCCCTCTACATAGTGAGCTAGTTACCACCTCAGGCTTTCAGAACACTGCAGTGAACAGAATGCACACCCCTGCCTTCATGGGCTTATGTTCTAGGAGAGGAGTGCGGAGGGGGAGACAGACCACAAACAAGATCCATCAGAGTATACAGTACCTTAGAAGGTGATGTGTGCTATAGAGAAGTGGGACAGGGAAGGCGGGGAGGGAATGCGGAGGCCGGCAATTATAATCAAGTGGTCAGAGGCTGGGTGGTGAGGGGCGGGGATGCATAGAAGGAGCCGCAATGGGCAGTTTTTCAGATGCCAGATCGACCCCATGGCTGTGTTCCCTGCACCCTCTCACAGTTCTAGAGCGATTTCACCAAAGCTGCCAGTTTCCCCAGGCCTCCACTCACCCGTCAGCTGTGCTGGGTACCCTCCAGCCTCGGACCTGCTCGAGGGTGGTGTCGGTCAGCTCGATGCGCAGGGGAAGCAGCGGGGCCCACACTGTCATTCGCAGTGAGGCCCGCAGCCGGCGCCACCAGAAGTCCACCCGCACCCCCTGAGCACCGCGGCTCTCCTTGCCAGCCACAAACACAGCGTCGCAGGCCTCGGACACCTGGGCAAGGCAGAGGGCAGCGGGTGAGCTAAGCCGCAGAAGACAGGTGTGGTGCAGAGAGCCCTGACCCCAGCCATAGAAGGGGGTACAGCTGAAATTCATTGTGTAGTTCACTGTAATGGACATTCTGAGACTAAGATTTCACCATCATCCAAGATTCATTCCTCCTGGAGGAACCAGCCATTCCCTGTGTTCATTCAGATTCAATTGGGGAAACTGGCTGCAAATCTTTCCTTTGAACCCACTAATTGGCAGATCTGCCCACCCCAGAGCCCTCGGGCAGAAACCACTTACATAGGGGCAAAGTGCCGCCACAAGGGCGGCCAGGATTTAAGAAATGCAGGTTCTGGGCTTCCCCTCTTAGAAGTTCAAAATGGGAAAATTACCCTGCCCTTCTTTTCATCTCATGGGTCATTATGAGGCTCCAGTAATAATAATTAGTATTTACTTGCCATCATAGAATATTTATATTATGTATAGCAGCAGTAGCTACCATTGTTTCAGCAACTGCTCTCTACTGGATACTGTCTTAGGGTGCTTTTAATTCTTACAACATCCCTAAATTATACTCTCATTTTAAGCCTAGGAAACTGAGACTCAGAGAGGTTAAGAGACTTGTCTACAATCACACAGCTAGCTGATAACAAAGATGGGTTTCAAACTAAACCCTTCTGATCCCAAAGTACATGCTCTTAACTCTCCTATGCCAGTTCCTTTGCCAGTGCAATAATGAACTTGAAAGTGCCTGAGCTGATCTGGGGGTGCTTGGGGTTCCATAGCTCACACCTGCCTCTGGGGACAGGTAGTGGGATCAAAAGAAGTGAAAGCTGTGGTTGCCCCCGTGAGGGTTCTGGTGTCAAGAAGAAGCTGTTCTCCTGGGGACCTGAATGGGGAAGGACAGTGGCCATGCAGCACTGTGCACAAATGCGTACTCACGTGGCACACGCTGCTTACCTGCAGGGCCTGGGTGTTGGCCGACTCACAGCCGATGTGCTCTGTCACCTCCGCCAAAGCCCCCCCACTGTCCACAGTGACAAGGCGCACAGGGACACGCCGAGGCACTCCAGTCAGTGGCGCTGTGTTCACCAGCTCCTCGGCCTGGGGGTGCAGGAGGAGCTCAGCCCGAGCTCTTCACCTCACTCAGCCCGCAGCCTGGCCGGGCAAAGGTGGGTACCCCTTACCTTGGCCAGTGGGATGAGGGCTCTTATGTTCCGCTCCGACACCAGGATCTCCCACACCATTTTGTCCTTCTCTGCTTCGGGGGCCTGGCCTGGGTACTCCAGCTGCCAGGTGACAGGGCGAGTGGTGGCTACGCCCCCACTAGTGCCATTCTCCACCAGGAAGTCCACCCACAGGAACTCGGATAGTTCAAGGGGGCTGCTGGCCAGAGGGACAGAGAGACTGAGTACTTGTTAGCAGCTGGGCACTGTCATAAGCACTTCGTGTATTCATGAAGTAGGTCTTGTAGTTACCCCCATTTTACAGATGAGGAAACAGAGGTTATGTAAGATTGCTCAAGATCTGGGCAAGGATTAAACCCCAGCGTCCCGGCTCCAGAGCCTAAGCTCTTATCCACCCTTGGTCTCTCTACAAGATCCAGGAAGCCACTTCATCTGCCCCTCACTTCCTGGACGCTTGCGTGCTCTCCTGCCTTCCTAGGCCCCCTCTGCTCAAACCTCTGTCTTCCTCAGCCATTGGGGTGGCATAAAGCACCTGATGCCAATTTCTACCAAGGAGGAAGACTCTCATTCAAGCCCCAAAACTGACACCCAACCCCATGAATAACAGCCCTTACAGCTTCCTTCCTTCCAGGAACTGGCCGAGATGCGTTCTGTGCACCACCTTATTTCCACAAACCTTAAGTGACCCATATTATCCCATCGTATAAATGAGGAAACTGAGGCTCTGGTGATGGGGGTGGGGGAGGTTAACTGGCTCACCCACAGTTATCCAAGAAGCGTCAGAATAAGGATTCAAACAAAAATGACAAAGCCCATGGCCTTTGACCCAGGCACAGGGCATGAATAAGATTTCATAAATGTTAAAAACTACTGGGCTTTTTGGGGGGGAATATAATGGTCCAGAAAAAGGGATCCATTTGGTGGCGATGGGAGGCTGGGTAGTGGCTGTGGGGGCTGTAACTGGAGAGCCAGGATAGGTTGGCATTGCCTGGAATGAGACTCAGACACTCACTATACCTGGCACGTGGCTGGGGATGGAGAACTAGTAGCTGAGTGCGTGAATGATTCAGCCTTGCGCTGCTTCCTTGAAAGGCTCTGTTCTTGTGTCTGCTCACATGGGCATATAGAGATAAGGTGGCAGACCCCTACACTTAGGCCCCCAAAATCTGCCCGCTAGCACTCTAGGACCAGCCCTCCCTCCTCTGCCCCCAGGGGGAGGAGGCTGCCCACCTGGTGTCCGGCCCTGTGGACCCAGTTCGGTGGCACGTGATGAGGCTGGTATGGTGCTTGGAGCCCTTGAAGCGGTCCAGCTTGGCACTCCAGAGGGCAGGTTGGGCTGGGCGTGCAGCTGTCACATGCAGCCCCTTCTTCACTTTGATCCTGGGGAGCGGACACAGGGCCAGTGTGTCAGGGTGGGTGCCGAACTCTGGACAGGATAGGCAGGACAAGGGACTAAAGATGGTTCGTGCATGGCCTCCCCTGCTCCAGCTGAATTTCCTTGCCATCCTCCAGCCCAGAGGACCCATCTCTGTGCCGGTCATGCCACACAGCTTTCTGTCATTCAGAGACCACTTATGATTCCCCACGACCCACATGGTCTAGTTTTATCCTGGCATTCGAGGCCCTCCAGGGTCTGGTCTAGTTTCACATTTGGCTGAGACTCCTCCCCATCACTCCGCTTCAGCTACGCCCAGAGTTCTTCCCCCCGCAGAGCCCATGATGCCTCTGAGCCTTTCTCAGGCTGTGCCTTCAGCCCTTCCTTGCTTCATCTGCTCATTCTTCAGCCTCTAGCAACAAAAACACCATTTTCTTTAGAAAGCTTTTCCTGTGGCAGGATGAATGTCCCGCTCCCCCAACTCCCGATCCAAGCCCCTTCATCAGACCTTAGGGTCTGGGTCCCGCCCATCCAGCTTCCTTCCCTAGCACTGGGGGTCCTTTAGCTCCAGATGGGGATGGGGCTTTGCTCCTCCCTCTAGCTCCAGAGTGGAGAGACGGGGCTTGGCCTATTTTAAGTGTCCAGAAAAGATCTAATGACTGTGAGGACTGTGAGCATAGGAGGGCATGAGAGACAGGAAGATGGGAGGGACAGGCGCCCGAGTGACCCACAGGGACAGGACACACAGCAGCCTGAGTATGGGAAAGGCACGTCATTCTCTGCAATTCCTTGTCCATGGGAATAGGCTGGGGGGCTGCTCTGGGGGGATCTTCCTGCTGGGAGGGACACAGAGGGGCCTTCCTGTGGGCCGGAGCAGGCTCTGTCTGAAGCCAGGGACCCACGGTGAGGGGGTGGGGGTGGTAAGCAGGAGAGCATGCGGATGAAGGTGCCTGGGGCAAATACCTCTCCTGAGGCACTAGAGCATTAACTACCCCCAGTACTGAACTTTCCAGTTCCCATGTCCTCTTCTGTTTCCCCTCACTGGAGCCTCATAGCTGCCCTGTGAAGTGGGCAGCGTTAGCCCTACTGGACCAAGGAGTCTCAGGGAGGTGCCAGAAGGAGGGGAGCCTCCTACTTCTGGCTCCGGGTTCAAGGCTGTGCCCATCATTGGCTCCTGCCTGTGGCCAGGGCAATCACAGCTCTTGGCCTGGAGAGGGTTTGGTGGACCCATGTTTACAGAGACCAAGGAGTCCAGTAAGGGCCTGAGAGCACAAGATACTGGGCCCGTCTTCCTGCAGAGGCGTCCACCTCTGACCCACCCCCGGGGCCCAGGACTCACCGCAGGGTCAGAACTTTGGCGGTGAAGTTGTGCCGAAGCAGGAGGGTGGCACTGAAGAGCTGGCTGGGCCGCACAGGCACATCGGGCACCCGTAGGGTCACTGCCTCATCCAGGGGCACCTCCTGGTACTGTGGGGGGGCTGCTGGGCGCAGCTCCACATCTCCCACTGGGAGAGCCTCTTCCCCGGGGCCTTCCTCCCTCCCAGGGCCACAGCCCCCAGGACCTTCAGCCGCAGGCTCCAGTGTGTAGGCCAGCTCAGCCCGCGTGGGGGAGCCCTGGGAGAACCAGTGCGAAGGGAACTCCAGCTCCACCACACAGGCGCCCAGAGATGGCTGCGGACACACAAGAGCTGTGGTTGGCACAGCGGGTGAGTGGATTCCCAGCACTCATGGCCGGAAACCCAGAGACGGACGGGCCCGTGAAAGGCAGGGCCAGCATGTGCCAGAGACATATCACAGGTGACATGGCCAACTGGCGACAGGACTGGGACCAGGTCTGAGAATGCATCCACAGGCCATGCCTCTACCTTTGGGAACTGTCTCATTCCAAAGTGAGCTACTCCCAACGCCTCCCCATAACCATGCCTAGGACCACCCTGACTACAACTCAAGCTTGGAAGAATCCCAAGCCTGCAAAATAGCTCTCTTGGGCGGTTGTATCCTGTGCCCCAAATAACCCTTTCCTGGGGTGCCCTGATGGCTGGCAGGCCAGGCATGCAGTCAGGTGGTCTGTGATTCCCCAGCTTCCCAGGAACAGCGAGCCCTCTTTTCCCTCGGGCTGGTACAGCAGCAGGGCCAGCCTAGGTGGGGCCCACCCCCTCACCTGGAAATGGCAGGCTCGGTGAGCGGTGCCTGCAGGGTGTGTGGCATGGAGCCAGGCACAGGGCAGGCTGCCAGGCCCTGGCGGCCAATCCTGCCCTTTGAGGTGGAAGAGGACGCGGGCGTGGGGCTCTGCTGGAGTCACGGCAGCTTCCACCGACACAGCCCGTACGTCCCACGGGACTGGCTGTTGGTGGGGCTCAGTGACTCGAGGAGGGACCACCTGGAGAGAGAACAGGGGTGCTCAACAAAGCAGGGGGGCGGGCAGAAGTGAGATCTGGGGAGATGGGATGCCGGGCTTCCAATCCCACCCTGGCAGGAAAGATCCTTGATGGGCCTCAGGGTCCCCCTCCAGAAAATGGGGAGCAAGGCTGAGGCAGGAAAAGGCCCCTGAGCTACACACAGCAGACTTGGCTCTGAGTCCTGTTAGCCTGGGAGTCCCCAGTGCCCCCTCCTTACCTGCTGAGTGGCAAAGGGTGGGTAGGAGGCCCGGAGAAGTGGCTGGGCCCTGGGCCAGGGCTGCAGGAGCAGAAAGGTCTCAGACCGGGAGCCCAGAGAGGAGTTGGCGGGTGGGTAGCGGCCCACCTGCTGCACACGGAAATGCTCAGGGGCATCCCGAAGCTCCAGGGCTGCCGGCAGGTAGACAGGGTCCAGGAGGCCCTGGTCGCAGTCCACTGAAGAGGGAGAATGGGCAGAGATGGTGACAGCTCCAGAGCTGGCAGGGGCTGAACTGAGCTCCATCCTGGGGCACAGTGGTGGGTGGGCAGTGGAGGAAGAAAAGGGTTGTAAGTGTCCCTCCAGACGCGGGGCTATCATCCCATTTCACCGATGAGGAAACTGGGGCTCAAAGAGCCTCACACAGCTGGTATGTGACAAAGCCAGGGTTTGAATGTATGTCCTCAGCTGGATGCCAGCTTCCGACCCATTGCACAGACCCAGAACTTTTCCAGCAGAATCTTCTCAATGTCTCCTTCTACCCCGTTTCTGCCCTCTTCTGACATCAAAGCATTTGTGGGGTACAACTCTCCCCAGACAAGGCCTATGCAGTCAAAGATGGTGACAAGGTGAGCTGTGTTGGAGTATACACCCTTTCCCTGCCCCTGGGTCCTTGGCCAGCCTTGGCTGAGCACACCATCCCTACAGTCACCATGGCAACCTCACCCCGGTTTCCAAAACTCGCCTCCTTCTTCCTTGTCCCACCTGGGTACTGAAGGGCAAGAGTGGGATTGGTGTGGGGGTGTGGTGGGAACTATGAGCCTGGGGAGAGAAACCATATATTCAACAGCTGGAAGGGCAAAGGACCCGAGACCATATTTGGTTCGCACCAACTGACTATCATCCCTAATAATAATAATTAACATTTTTTAACACTATAGGCAGGCTACTATTTAAAACATGACATATATTAACTCTTCAGTTTTTGTAGTGACACTGGGAACTGAGTTCTATTACTGTTTATCCCATGTTATAGATGAAGAAAATGAGACTGAGATTAAGGACCGCATGCCTGGGGTCTCACCACTGGACAGTGGTGGAGCCAGGAGGCAGGGCCCAGGCTGTAGCCACCGACAGTCCTGCCTCTCCACCATCCACCTCTCTCTCCACCCTCTGCTGCTTGCAACACACCTTAGGGCTTCACTCCCTAGACTGTGGGTCTCTCCGTTCTCCTTCCACAGGAGCCCTCCTTGACTGCTTGCCCTCCTGAGTCCCCTCAGTCTTTGTGCACCCAGGGTTGTGAATTAGCTGTCTTGTTTTACTCATTCCAGAATCCTCCAAGCTGGGCTGCTGTCCCTGGAGAGGATGTCCTGGGAGTCTGGAGACCTTGTTTCCATCCTCACTCTGCTTTGATGAAGCTTGGGTCATTTAACATCTTTGGACCCTCAGTTTCCTCCTCTGTAGAATGAGCATTTAGTGAAACTGTGGACAGGGGAGGGCTTTGTAGACTGCCGCGATGCCTGGAGGGGGAGTTAATGCTGCTCCATAATGGATGTGACAAGGCTCTCCTCATCTCTCCGTGTAAGGGGTTATTAGGGCTCTTCCCGGGTCCCCTGGAGACGGGAGCAGGTGGCTGAAAGCAGCCATAGAGCCAGATCCCTCTCAGCCCCCCAGCTGGGCTGGGGGACTTGGTGGTTTCACCCTTCTTCAAGACCCTCCCCACCAAGGAGCGTGCATCTGAGATGCTTCACCCATCCCACCCCCCAGGCGTAACAGGTGAGTGACTGTGGCTCTCTGGGGGCAACTCCTGGACTCAGTCTTCCTACTGCATTGCCTGCATAATTATAAGATGATCTGTGGTCTGACTCCCACCGACGCCCATCACCCAGAGCTCTGCTCTCCTCCTGGGGGCCGTGGGGGGGGGGTAAGAGAATGCCTCACTAGCCCCGACTCTTCTGTGGCATCATTCACCTAGCAGCCACAGCCCGAGCCAAGGGCAGTCTGTCCCCCATCCCTGGCTACGGGGAGTCGCTGCCCTTCCCTCCAGTGATGGGGGTCGCTATTAAGGACTAAGGAAGACACGGATGGGGAAATCCCTGCGTACTCTAAGGTCAGAGGGCTCCTTGGGGGCAGGGGCGGGCGGCAGCGTTTCTCACAGGTCCCAGGCAAAGGGGTTGCTTTGCGTCCCTGCGAGGGCTGAGTTGATGGTCGGGGGAAGGAGACTAGGAGCCACGGGGGCGCAGCGTAGGGACCGCAGATTAGGGAGCCGGTGCGCCTGGGGCAGGGGACAGCCGGGTTGGATGCCCCGGCTGGAGGGGAAGCTCCGGAAGATGCGGGAACCGGACAGGGGTCGGGGAACGGTACTGAGAATCCGCGGCCCCGGCTGATCCTGGGTCAGGAAGGAGTTGCGGGTTACGCAAGTGAGGGAAGCGGGAGAGGTGCGCGCCTGGGGGGCCGATCCTGGGGGTGGGACCTCTCCAGCCCTCCGGGCACGCTGCAGGGCCACCCCGCTCCGGGCTCCTGGCTCCCGGGCATCCTCCCGCCCGGCCTCCCCCACCCCCGCCGCCGCCGCTGACCTCTCCGGACGTCCGAGGCGAGGGCCACCAGGAGGCAGAGCCAGGGGCCGCAGGGCCACCGGAGAGCCGCTGCCGCGCGCCTCGCCATCCGGGCGCACATCCTTCCCCCGGAAGGCGGGGGCTAGGCGGGCGGCTCAGGCGGCCGCGGTTCGCCCGGCATCTCCCGCGCCGGCTCCGACCCGGCCGGCAGGGCTCCAGCCGCCACCCCCCGGCCGCCCGGCTCGCGGCTGCAGCGCCCAGACAATGGAGCGGCGCCGGAGCAGGGCAGGAGCGGGGGCGGCGCGAACGCAGCACGTGGGCTGCCCTGCGCCCGCTGGGTCCTAGTGCCCTGCGGATCTCAAACCCTTGCTCCCCTGGGGACTGCCCGACAGGGGACTGACCCGCTTCTGCCAAGATAGTCGCGACGTGTTCTATTCATTCCCTCTTGGAAGCTCCTGGCCAAGAAGCAACCAGGCACTTCCTCTTCCTCACTCCCTTCCCACAGGCAGCTCACCTGTAAAAGCATCTGGTATCTGAATCAGAACCAAAATTCAGGGATATGTGGACCCCAGCGGTAGGGGTGGAAAGGGTGTTGGAAGGGAGCCAACAGAGCCAGGTGACAACCACCTGCGCCTGTCATGACGGAGCCCTGGGCCACGCCTGTGTTGTAAGGGCCCCAGGTGCAAGCAGTTGAGTTTCATGTCCAACCACATCCCAGGGAGAGAGGCCTGCCCGCCCAGGAAGGGTGAGGGCTCCCTCTGCTCCTGAGGGAAGGCCAGCCTTCCAGCTCCTGGCCTCCAGCCCAGGCCTGCCTGCCAGGCAGTGTCAGCAGACGCCCTGAGCAGGGCACCTGGCTGCATGTCAGCATCTCCTAGGTAGCTTAAAAAGAAAAAACCACACCCGAGCCCTCCACAAGACAGGCGATCCAATCTACGGGCAGGGCTGAGAACCACAGCGCAGGTACCTTGTGCTGGTGGGGGAAGGAGGGAGGGCAGGCAAGTCTTCCTGCTGCCTTTGGCACTCCCACACAGGCGGGGAAGGGGTCCCCTCCTCCTCCTCCTTGTCCCCCCACCACATACACACTATTCCAGCAGTGCCCTCAGTTCTTCGTGGAGGATTTGCAGTGGGGGCATGCCTTCCTCACTCCTCACATGCGCTCTTTTGGAGACAAGGGTACCGGGTACAAGCCGCCTTTGTGCTGCTTTCCCTCCCTCCCTTCCTACCAGCGTCTCACTGCCCCTGCAGAGAGGCCAAAAGCGCTGAGCAGCTCTACAGAAACGGGTTCAGCTGTAGAGGGAGAAATCAAAGCAATGCAGACTCTGAATAAATACATTTTATACAGAACAACATAATAAAATAGCGTGCATTTTATTTAAAACCAACCAAGCGCTGATAAAAATATATAGATCACTGCAGCTGGGATTCCACATCAAAACTGGGCATTAATTTATTCTTCACATCATATGCCAGGCCTGGCAGAGGACAACCACCTCCATCAGAGCCTCAAAGGAAGAATGAGGGCCCCAGTGGAGGGCTTGGCCAGCAGGCTCAGCCTGTTCTGCACAGTGTGGGGGGAAGGGGCTGTGGCGTGCATCTCTGGTGTGTCTGCTGGGTGTTCCTCCGTGGACACTGATCAGTAACTCACCGGTGGCCACGAGTGGAGAAAGAGGGATGGAGAGCCACCTGGAGCTGCTCAGACAAGGAGGTGAGTCCTCCCTCCCCTGTAGGTGTCTCTGAAATCCCCACAGGGGATCTGATGGCCATTGCAGGGTCCTACTTGTGGGCACAAGCCTACAAAGCAGTCATCTTTTGCTTTGGCTGAAGGGGAATCAAGACTGTAAGAGGGACCATTCTCTTCTTGAGACCAAGTAGCCACAGTGCGCTTTCCTACATACAGTACAGCAGCGGGCAAGCAGCGGGCTAAGGCCCCACTGGCTTGCATTAAGGCACTTGTAACAGACTCAATGTGCATCCTTGCCCCCAGCCCCACGTGGGGTTGCCCCCATCCTTCCCCTCAGGTCCCACATGCCCTGCCTTTTCCTCATGCTGGGCAATGAAGAGGACAGGAGTGTTCTTGGAGGGACTGTGGTTTGGCTGGAGTACAGGGCTCGAAGGAGACAAACAGGAAGGGAGCCAGGGACCGGGCAAAGGAGGAGCTACAGGCCAGGACGGCAAGCACCTCAGGAGGAAGGCAAGGCAGTGGCAGAGAGCTGGCTGAGTCCCAGGACCAACGGAGCGATACTCACTGAGAGCAGCTGCAGAAGCTGGAGAGGAGGCCCCCTGACCTGCCCTAGAGGCAGCAGGCTGAGTGCAGAGAAAGGGTTAAAATACCAACCCCAGACAGAGAACTTCCAGAGAAGACAGGGCCCCCAGGGAGCAGCAGGGGGAACAGTCTTCCTCTCTTAGCCAGGGGGTCTAGAGCAGAGGTAATGGTTCTGGAGGTTCAGAGATGGGGCAAGAAAGGGGCAGGAGGCTAGAAGGAGGGCTGCGCGACCCCGACGCAGTGCAGCTCTTTGGCAGGACGAAGGCGGCATGGTCCATGTCCTCCTCACTCCTCCTCCACGCTCCGGGGCGCCTTGGCCACTCTCCTCTGCCTCCAGCGCAGCTCCTCCACCTGTCGCTCCAGCCCTTGTACCTTGGCCTCCAGTTGGGCCCCTGAGGCCCGGGTGCCAGTGAGCCGGCTCAGCAAGGCATAGAGGGTCAGCAAGGCCAGGAGGAGCAAGGCCCGCATGGAGGGGTCAGGCACCGACCTCACCAGGGCCACAAAGCTGGCCAGGAAGAGGACAACCTTCAGGCCCCACAGGATCCGCCCCAACAAGGCCAAGACCAAGCCCAGGAGCAGGGACAGAAGCCAGTAGACGACCAGGGCCCCGGCTCCCCACAGCAGGAAGGTCTGGACCTGGCTGGGGCTGAGCTTCAGGCCTTGGGTGAGGTGATCTCCTGGAAGGAAGGAAAGTCACAGAGTCAGCCAACCTGGAGTGGTGAGGGGTCAGGGGGGCATGAACCAAAACCGGTGGAGGAGTTAAACCCCACTGCAAAGGGAAAATCCTTTCCCGTAGGGTCATGAGACACGAGCTTGAATTTCAGCTCTGGTTCCTGCGGGCTATGCGTAGATTATTTCTCTTGGTTAAGCCTGTTTCATCTAAAAAATGGGAGTAGATCTCTGGGCTGTGGGAAACAGTGAGATATTGGGCTTAGCACAAAGCTTTGCCTGACACGAAGCCAATGCCCGGTAGGGGGTGGTGGTCATTAGCCTGCTCTTGTACTTGACTCTGGGGAGACCCGGAAGATGCTGAGCAGCTGGGGAAAAGTCTGGACCCTGAAAAGATGAACTCCCAGAAAGAGGCAGTGACCAGCTAAGCTCCAGCAGGCCTAAGCAGTTCTCTGCTACTCACCGTCCAGCGCCAGGGCATTCAGCAGCTGCGCAGAGATGCCGGACAGAGCGAAGAAAGCCACAGAGATGGCGGAAGAGACGGCCCACATCACCTGAGACAAGGTCTGTGGAGAGAGCGGGGTGCAAGATGAGTCCAGCACCAGTGATGCCCTTCTGCTCAAGCCTCGCCATCACGGCCCAGGTGACGCCTGGCAGGGACGTCTGCCCCCTGCTTTTTAGCCAGGTTTGCTCAGCTGGGCCTGGCTGAGGGGTCCCTCCCGCAGCCGCCTTCCAGTGCACAGGGATGGCAAGCAGGCCATTTCTCCTTCCTGAACTGCAACCCAAGACATTGGGCCCTAATTTAACTGATATGGTGGAATACATTTGTGGTGGGAGTAGGTGAGCATGTGGGGTGGGGGATCATCAAATCCCTGTAAAACTGGGGTCCTTCTAGACCCCCAGGGAATCAAGGAGTTGTGTGACATAACATCTGTGAAGAGCTAGGATGTTTCAATGAAAAAGAGTCAATCATCTCTACTATCTTATGGATTTTATAAAAGATTGCTTCAGCCACTTAGTACGACCTATCAGAAGTATGTGACATCATGCCTGGGGTGCCAATAGGCAGATGAAACAGCCCTGCCCAACTCTACAGGTGAAGAAAACATCAGGTCTGGTATTTTGCCAGTTTGACTTCAGGTCAGATTTAGACCAGAGTCAGACAGTACAGTCACCCAGTGAGATGGGTTTATAAAGATGGCCCATTTCTTGGCCCTTTTGGCAAGAAAGGGAAGGACCAAGGGAAAGACAGGGGTGGAGCTACAGGCCTCAGGGTAGGATGCAAACCATGGGAACATAAAAGGCAGGTACTGGCCTGGCTTCATTTTGTGGAATTTGGGGTTCTTTGCAACCAGAACTATGACACAGAGGATGTGGAGAAAAGACAGGTGGCCGTGAATGTTGTCTTCTTGGTGTTTCCTGAATGAGTGCGGTCGCAGCAGGGAACACCTTTCTTACCTCGGAAACCAGGTGCACGGTCTCTGGCCCCACCCAGGCATCCAGTGCTCCGCGCACAGACCGGCCCATCTGGCTCAAGAGATCAACAGGGGCCTCCCTCTTCTGCTGGCCAGGTGGCGTGAAATCCCGATGGGGCTGCGATGATGCTGACTGGAGGAGGACGAGGGCCACTAGGACCATCAGGACAACTTTGAACAAATGCCTGCCCCGTGGCGAGCTGCTTCCGAAGCCTGCCATGGCTGGGTCTGCGAGGGGGGAAGCACAGGGTGAGCAGAGAGCCAGACTGGCCCAGCGGCCGCCTGTCCCAGTTCTGACCTGCCCTGACACTCCCCTGAGAAAGGCACAGGGCTTTCCGCTTAATCTGGGCACAACCATCTGACTCACACGTTCCTCTTTCACATTCTTTACCACCTGCATATTAACTAACTGGCAAGTATTATTCAGTGCCTCAGGGTGGATGGGAAGATCTCATTAAGGCTTATTCCAGTTCTAAAAGTCTGAAGGCCTGTTTCCATGTCTTAGGTGCTATGGGCATAAAAACATTTTAAGACTATAAGGCTTTGTTCCCTAGGAGGTTATCTACTTAAGATAAAGCTGACAAAGCAAACAACTTAAAAATAGCACACAATAGGATTACCACTGTATAATAATGTAAAGAAAAGTGCTCAGTTATGTGCTCAAACAAGAAAAATCTACACATATGCCACTGGCTTGGCAGGGCTGTGATGTGAAGCAGGATTATCCTCCTTGCCCCTATTGGAATGATGAGAGGAAACTGAGACTTAAGAGTTAAGCATTTACCCGAGGTCACCTGGCTAAACAGAAGGGCCAGTATTTGAACCCTAGCTTCTCCTTCCAAATCACACATTCACTGGGAGTGAAGGTAATCCAGTGGGTCCCAACTGTGGCTGCTCACTGGAATCACCTGGGGCTTCACAAGGCACTGATGCCTCTATCCTGAGCCCCGAGGTCCTGATGTCACTGGGTGTGGCTTAGGCTTAGACCTGCAGGAGCTCCCAAGCGATGCCACTGTGAAAAGCTGAGACCTACTGGCACAGAATGGCCTCACCTCCCAAGCCCCCAGTGCAGACAAAGGGTTAAAGCACAACCTTTAAGGCAAGATATTTATCAATAAAAGCCTAGCCATGTGTCACCTTTCATTTAATCCTCACAACAACCCATCAGGCAAGCATTGTTATCTCCATTTTGCTGATGAAGAAACCAAGGCAAGAAAAAAAAATAAAGAAATAAATTTGAAAGTGGGGAAGCCAGGATTAGAATCTAGGTGCATCTAATTTCAGATCCCTCGTCATACCATCCAGTAGTATCATTGCCCACATAAGACTCAGAGGTGATTTAGAGGTCATACAATAGATTATTCATGAGCAAAGTAAGCTTGACATCTACCAATCATCTCCATGAATTGCTGGTGACAATTAACCACTTTGTGCTCTATGCTCTGATCTGGTCTATAACATGATGCTATAGGCAAGCTAAGATCTAACAAATTTCAATTTATTGAAGCAGGTGAGGATCGACCAAGAAAACTGTTTGCAAGTACAACTTCTATTTGTCACCATGCTTGAGAAATGTCAAACAGCACCAGCAAATCCCCTGTTCTCTTCCAAGCTCAGAAATGAATCTGCAGCTCCAGAGAGCTGCCCTGATTCACACCCAATGATCAGAGGCTAAGCCACGATCCTGAGGTAGGGGCAGCCAGGTGTCTGAAGTGTTGCAGTTACCAGGTGTAGGGAAAATGGAAATTCCCACAGCCAGGACCTTCACCTGACATTAATCTATTTGCCCACTGCAAACATACAATGGTGTAAACTGGCCTACTGTGCAGGCACATGCTTACACACATGTTGGCAATGAGCCATGATTGTCCGTGTTGCTATATAAAGACCTCTGGCCAACATTGCACGGAGGTGGACTGCAGACTTTCCAGATGTAGACATGATTCTAGCACTCCATCTACCAACATGAGAATAAAACTTGGTATAAGACCTTTACCCACAACGGTCCCTTGTTGTTATTTGGTCTCACTGAATCCAGAGTGAACTTGTCTGGGGCTGAAACCCTCTGGCGCTACATTTGGTGCGGTGAGCAGGATTTGCTGTAGACTGAAAAAAAATGGAATAAGCTGCCTTCATGGGAAGGGTACTTCAGCGGGCTGCCCCTATGGACTGGGAAATACTGCAGGATACCCCTGTGGGGGAGGAGATATTTGGGTGTCCCCCAATGGGCATGTGGTCTGAGGTGGCTTTCCTACCCTACCCAGGCCTGGGGGAGGTGGAGGGGACACCTGAGGCAGTGGTGGAGGCCCTTCACAAGATTGGGAAATCCTTAGAGAAACTGAGTGCCCACATGGTGGCAGGAGCCGTGGGTTGCCTATTTCTCATAGTATTAAACAATGCTGTAAATGAGAAGGAGGTGCTCCTGTGAGAAGCATGAGAAGAGGCAGCCAGAGAACATGAGACGCAAGGCACTGGAGGAGGCAAAAAATACACCAGTGACTGAGATGGTGGTACTCCGCAGAGCAGCAAGAGGGCTGCCATCAGCCCTGGAAGGGGTGGAGGATATGTTGCAAGAGTATGAGGAGGTGGGTGTTGTGCTGTAGGCACCAACCCCTCCTCTATTGAAATTCCATTCTGTTGCAGCCAAGAAAATAAAGACACAGCCACTGCCGTTTCCCCCAGGAGAGGTGCAGCACGCCCCCCCAACCCAGGTTGTGGAGCACTCCAAGTTCTACCCCTATACACAAATGGAGCCAGTAGATCTGGGCTCCCAGTTTCAGCAGAAACCCTTGGAGTCCACATCAGCCTGGCTCTTGTGCCTCTGGGATGTATGGGTGGATAGTATCCTCCTGTCTGGATCAGAGATGGGAAAGCTGGCTTCCCTGACAACGCATCCTGCCTTGCAGCAGTGACTACAGAATGCACACCAGACCCCAGGGAACCATTCACTTCTCGAATGGCTTATGGCCACCCTTTGCACTGAATGCCCCAATCAGGGTGACTTACCATTTTCCCCAGCTGGATGGCAGATGTATGCCGAGCTCTAACAGGTGTTACAGGAGTTGGGCATGAAAAATGCTATTTATAACCTAGGAAATTATAGCCCTGATGAGGAGCTGTTAACTGCTGCGATGAGGGATACAGTACTGTATCTTAGAATGTAGACATTCTTGCCCCTCACTTAGGGCAGCCAGTAAATGCAGTTACCCATGCTGTGGGGGACTCTGAAGCAATGCAGGCATGGAAAAGAGGGCAGTTTGCTACTGAGAAGAAGGGCTTAAAGGGCCCCATGAAGGTCATAAGGACTCAGATGTAGGTTGATTTGATAAAGGCAGGAGCAAACAAAGAGAAATTGGATGGCAAGTCAAATAAAATCTTACTGGAGCTGTGGCAACACCTGAAGCCAGTGCAGTAGGACCAAGAAATGAAAGCCAGAGACAAAGCCATGCGTCTGGCCTGCGCACCTACAAGACTTCCTGCTTGAGAGGGGAACCAGCCTTGCCTAGACCTTCACAGGAAGCTGACTGGGTGATACCGTTTGACTGAGGGGAGGGTCCAGGTGGAGACCAGAGGCCACATGCTGAAATACCTATTCATTGGTCCCCAGTGAATGTATGTGTCCTGGCTCTGGTAGACACAGGAGCTAAATGCTCACTGATTTATGGCAACCCTCAGGGGTTTCCCAGGACCCCCGCTGTTACAGATGGATAGGGGGTAAGGCTGTCAGAGTCAAATAAGCCCGAATCCCATTGCATCAATCCCCAAGGAAGTATACTGTGTATATCTCTCCCATCCCCGAATATATTTTGGGGGTAGGTATCCTGTAGGGCCTGTGGTTGCAGACCACTGCAGGCGAGAGCAGACTCAGGATCTGTGTGGTGCAGGCAGTGCTAAGGGGACATGCTAGGCACCTGCGCACATCTTGGCCTGTGCCTCGGCGGGTGACTAATACTAAGCAATACAAATTGCCTGGGGTGGTGGTGCATAAAGAAATTGGTGAAACCCTCCAGAAACTGGAGAGGGTGGGTATTATAAAGCCCACCCATAGCCCTTTTAATTCCCTAGTGCAGCCAGTAAAAAAGTTGGATGGCTCCTGGCATATGACCATGGATTATAGAGAAGTGAATAGTCATACCCCTCTGCATGCTGCCATCCCCTCTGTTGCAGCCCTCGTGGACACCCTCACTCATGAACTAGGGACGTATCATTATGTTATGGATCTTGCTAATGCCTTCTTTTCCATTGACATAGAACAGGAAAGTCAGGAAAAATTTGTCTTCATGTGGGGAGGATGGCAATGGACTTTCACTGTCCTTCCACAGGAATACCTCCACAGCCCCACCATCTGTCATGGGCTTGTAGCCCAGGACTTGGCAGCATGGGAGAAACTGCCAATGGTGTGGCTGTAACATTATATTCATGATGTCATGCTTACTTCTGATTCTCTTACAGACCTAGAAGGAGCAGACCCAGACTACTGCAACATCTACAGAAGAAAGGATGGGCCGCAAACAGCACCAAAGTTCAGAGACCTGGTTTGTCAGTCCAATACATGGGGGTTGTCTGGTTGGGTAAGACCAAAGCTATCCCAGAAGCAGTCAAAGATAAAGTCCAGGTCTTTCTTAACCCTGAAACGGTGGCACTACTGCAGGAGTTTGGGGTCTTTTAGGCTACTGGAGAATGTTTATTCAACACTTGGCACAAATTCTGAAGCCCTTATACTATTTGGTATGAAAGGGTGTCAGGTGGGACTGGGATGAAACACGTGCATCTGCTTTTGCTGCTGCAAAATGGGCAGTCAAGGCTGTGCAGGCCTTGAGTGTGACAGACCCATCAAGGCCCTGTGAGCTGGATGTCCATGTGACTGAAGACAGTTATACCTAGGGTCTCTTGAAATGGCTTGAATGAACTTGCCAACCTATTGGATTCTGGTCACAACTCTGGAAAGGAGCAGAGGTGTGGTACACCTTAACAGATAAACAATAGAAGACAATGTGGGCTGTAGCCCATCGGTAGGGCCTGCCTTCAACCTTTGAAGAAGTCAGTAGAGCCCAGCAAAAGTCCATTATGTGCCCTAAAAGGGACTTACACCAAGTCCCACAGCAACCTGGGACAATAGCTCAGGGGCCAATACCCCTTGTCAGGTGGCAGAGAGACAGTATTGGGCCTCTTCTCATATCAAAGGGGTATCGATATGTCATGACTTGTGTGGACACAGCTACTGGACTTCTGGTTGCTTTTCCTCCATGTTGCACAGACCTAAATGACCAAAAGAGGCCTAGGGCATATCTTCGTAGCCTATGGCTAACTGCAGGTAATTGAGAGTGATCAAGGTACCCATTTTACTGGACATGCACTACAAGAATGGGTGCAACAATTAGGGATAAAGTGGAAGTTTCATGTACCATATATCCCACCAGGGCAGACATGATAGAGAGGTACAAAGGTTTGTTGAAATCCAGCCTAAAATCAGATACTAATAGTCTACAGGGACAGTCAGTCCACTTATGGACAGTGCTATGGTGTTTAAATGAGAAGCCCCAGAAGGGGGCATTGAGCCCTGCAGACATGCTAACACACATTGCTGCCTTCCCTATACAACCACAAGGACAAACCAAGGAGGAATCATTAAAGCTGAGGTTGGCTACAGAATAATATCTTGCTGCCAGCAACAATCACAATAAACCCCAGAGACTCTGTTCAGTGGATGTGGTCTTGGACATTTCAACACATGGACCAGTGATGGCTGGCTTCCTGACACCTTGGGGATAAAGCCTGGAAGCTGGCCTCTTGTGTATTCGTGGAGTAACAGCAGAGTGGACCCCACAGATCATGACAGTGTACCCTAAACAGCCAGAAGGTAAGAGCATCTTACTGGGGAGTTTTATCTTCATGGCCAGTGCGTGCACCTCCAGGAGCACTACACACAGATCCCTTGGTAACCCCTACAGGGAGAGGGCTAAAGGTATGGTGTACTAAACCTGGATGGGACCCCCCCTTCCTGCCACAGTTCCATCACAGGACAACTCTCTTGCATCCATCCTACCTGATGGACAAGATTTGCCTAGTGTCATTGTTAGTGTCATTAAAACGTGTGTCTTATTGCTCTTAAGGTTAATCTCCTCTAATGTCTTTGTATATTGGGCACACACCATAGCAAAACTGCTGCTTGCTGGGCATGCTTGGAGTTCCCTACCCGATCTGCTACTGGTATCCCACGGAAAGTGTGAGTCGTGAACTCATCTGAGTGAAACTGGTTTGAACACAGCTGGAATGACCATTTGGGGGCAATCAATCTCCTCAGGCTTGAGGATGCCTCTATTGCTTTGTGGCATCTGGTTAAAATGTTCCAGCCTTCTCACATAGGGACCACTACAGAAGACTGAGGGTGCGTAGACTGTGAGGCGAGAATCCTGGAGGGGTGGAGTCAGGGAAAATGGAAGTTCCCATGGACAGTATGCTCACCTGACCTTAATCTACTTGCTCACTGCACATGTGCAATGATGTAATATTGGCCCACTGTGCAGGCACATGCTTGCACATGTGTTAGCAACGAGCCATTATTGTCTGCGCTGGTCTGTAAAGACCTCTGCCCAGTGCTCTCTGCAGCAGAGGTGGATTGCAGACTTGCCAGATGTGGATGTGTTTCTAGTGCTCGACTTGCCGCCGTGAGAATAAAGCCTGGTATAAGACCTTTTAGCCCTAACGTTCCATTGTCGTTATTCAGTCTCACCGAATCCAGAGTGAACTTGCCCAGAGCTGAAACCCTCCAGTGCTACACCAGGTCACTCAGGAGCTGGCCAGAAACAGAAGCCAACAAGATGGAAGAGAGATGCTCCCATTCTTTCTCAGGGGGAAAGAGGAGGGTCCATCCAAGAAAGGATCAGAAAAATAGCACATTTAGGACACTCTCTGGCCCAGAAACAGCTGCTTTAAGTCCCTCTTCAGGCCTATGGAATCAGGCAGGGCTGCAAAATACACACTTCATGTGGAACAGCCTCCAGCTGGGAAGCCTTCTACTCTCCTACTCTTTTTTGGCACAAATCAAGAAGCAGATGGTTCCTGCCTGCCAGTGTTCAGAGATGAGGAAAGCACAGGTTAGTTCCTGAGCTATCTGGGTCATAACCACAATGGGGACTGAAAAGAGCAGGGTTGCTATCTTGGGTTGATCCTATATCCAACGATTTCCATCAGGAAGGATCAGATGTCTGTTCTAGAAGGTCACAGTGACAGGAGCTGCTCCCCCCACGGCAGCCTCTGCATTATGTGCTGCCCTTTGCTTTCAAGTGGCCATCTGCCTCAGTCAGGGGGAGCCGAGAGACCTTGGAATAAACCCTCAATGGTGAGGTCAGCACTGCCCTGCCAGCTGACCCCTAATGTGCACTGGACACCTAACAGGATTCTGGAGCATGCCCTTTGCAGATAAGAGCACAGATTACTGGCTGGTGCATTTCTTCACTGTTCTTTAACAAGACTTCTTCTCATTTCTTCCAGATTAATCCCAGGCAGTAAGAATTGGACCACTGCCATTATGCCTCCTCACTTCAGTCCAATTAAATACTTTTAATAAAGAGAAGTCATGGTAGCTGTAGCACCAGATTTCAGCTCCTGGCAAGTTTACTCTGGATTCGGCAAAGCTGAAAAATGACAGGAGAGCATTGGGAAAGTGTTCATACCCAGCTTTATTCTTGTGATTGCTGATCAATAGCTTAGATTACATCCCCTGAATCTGCATGCAAGTCTATAATCTACAATCCGCAAAGAGCACTGGGAGGAGGTCTTCATACAGCAACACAGACAAAAAATGGCTCATTGCCAACATGTGGGTAAGCACGCGCCCCCAAGGTAGGCCAGTTATTACGTAAGCAGGTGATAGCATTGCACTCATGCAGTGGGCAAATCGATCAGGGTCAGGTGAGCATCCTGATTATGGGAATTTCCATTTTCCCTACAGTAGTCAAGAGCCAAAGCAGTATAGAGCTCTGAGAGGAAGTATGTCTTAAACATCTTCACCTCCTGCAATGCCCAGCCTCAGATAAATAGGAGGCACTCAACACAAAGTGTGTGTGTGTGTACATTTTTCATTTACGAAGTGCTTGGTATTTCACTATCTCATTTAACTCTTACAACAGTCTTATAAGGTATTGCTGCTCTCCACATTTTGCTCATACAACTACTCAACTTACTCATAAAACATAACGTCCATAAAACTGGATTAGAGAGGCCAAGTGACTTGTTCAAGTTCACCCAGCCAAACTGGGACTGACTTCAGAACCCAGGACTTAAATCTTGCCCTTTTGCCAGTCTACACTCCCGAGCTGTCAACTACAGAAGACAAGCTCCCTAGCCTCATGGCACTTAAAGTTCTGCCAAATATCAACAAGCTCAAAGTGAGAGGGCATCCAGACTCCCCCAAGGGGACCACATACCAGGAGGTGACCTACCGCTGGGCTTACAGGTCATGGTTTCATACAAGGACAGCAAAATACGGGGACTAGACCTGCCACTTGTGTTCAGGTAGATGCAATACGCCTCAGGCAGGGCTGGGAGAACCCGGCAGAGCTGGGGAAACTGCTTTTCTAAACTGTGGTAGTGAGAAGGCACTGTTTAGCTACGGTTTGCTCAGAGGGCAGGGTGGAGCAGTCCACCCCCACCTTCCACCCAAGCCTCTTTCCTCCAGTTAGTTTCCTTTTACACTATGAATCACTACATAGCAGGAGGGGCAGCCGACCTAGTGCCCTCTGCTGGCCCTTATTTTCCCATCATTGTTTGGGTCAGCTCCAACAGAGCCGCGCGGTTCGCAACTCTAGCCACCCATCAGAACCGCCTGGGGAGTCTGATCAAGCAAGGGCATCTGTCCTACCCAGGACCGACTTCTTTACTTTTCAAGAATTTTGTTTTTAGATCTCTTCAGCATAAAGATAGCTGCCACAAACGAGCAGCAACGCCAGGAAAAGTCTACTCTAAGCAAAGCCCTCAAAGTGTAGCAGAGTACAATAGACTCAATTCTGTCACAAACTAGAAGCCACTACTTTATGTCTATTACTTAACTTGTCCCGTATCAGTCTCCCAGTAAAATGTAAATGCGGGCTGAGAGGGGTTAAGAGTTATTGCAAGGAGTTAACATGTTTTTTCAAGAACCTTGTAAACGTAACCACCTATAGAAATGTTGCAGTTACATAAACTGCCAATACACCATTCATTACACTGTAACATAATTTAGCGGTTTATTTGCCTACCTCCCCCATTTGACTGTGAGCGCCTTCTGGTCAGACTTGACAACTAACTTTTCTTGGAATGCCCAGCGCCTAGCACAGAACGATGACTAATAAGTGCTTATTAAACGAATACTAGAAGCGTGCCAGGAAGCCGTGAGGGTAGCAATGGAGAGCCATGGAGAGGCAGGGAGAGGGGGCTTATTTTAAAGCTGATCCAAATATGCAGCGGCCACCCGAGAAGCACAGCTGCGTTGAAAGGAAGCGCCTAGGCGGCACGAAGCTGCCGCCGAGAATGAAGTCAGCGTCCGGGCAGGTGGGGGCTGCCCCCGCTAAACCCCTGACAGCTGCTGCCCAGCAACTGTTTGGGGGCAGGGCGACGGGCAAAGGGACAGCTTACCCAGCCACGCCGCGCCCTCCCCAGGGCCCAGCCTCCCCGAGACCGGGTGTCAGTGGCATGTGCTATTTCGAACAGCGCTTCCCCTTGCCAAGCCCTGCTGGGTGGCGTCGCTGGCAAGGGATGCGGCGCGGCCCATGGGTTAGGGGTTATCCAAACAGGCTCCAAGCGAGGCCGCGGGAGGCTGAGCTGTGTGGTGGGGGTCGGGGACGAGGGGCTCAGCGCTAGCGTCTTGGCCAGACTGGCAGCTGCCCCTCCTCAGCTGGACCTCGCTGCAGCTCTCCAAACCCTCCTCTCCCCGGAAACGCAAGCCTCTGCTGTTACCTAGTAACGACGCCCCCTGTTGCATAGCAACGAAGATGCGGGTCCCCCGTTTGTTTTCTCCACCGCACGACGTCGGACCCCTCCCCACTCTTGCTCGCCGAGCCTGTCGGCTCCGCTCTGGCCCCGCCTGCAATGGCTGCCACCTCCCCTTCTCGCTTGCTGCTCCCGGGCGTCGGTCTCCGCTCACACTCACCGGGCTCCAGATACCGCTGCCCTTCACGTGCAACTTCGCTAAAACGCGCCTCCAAACCCGCGCCTCAACTCCGGGGCGTTGGTTTATTGTCTGCGCACGCGCAAGGCGGGTGGCGCGGGGCGGAGGGACCAGCCGGCCTCCAGGCCCGAGCCCGGAGCCGTGAGCGCATGCGCCCTACCCCTCGCTCCTGTTTATTCCCAAGCAATCCCGCCGCGAGAGATTGGGGTCGGAAGTTCGAGCTGGGAACGGAAGTCTGTCAGGAAAGGGGAAAGAAGTGACACTGTACCTGGGCTGTAGAGTGGATACACTGAATCTTTGAATAAGGGGTCAAAGCCTATCCGCTTCTTCAAGGCTTCGCGTTTTGGGAGGTGAAGTTCTCGAGCTACGGAGTGCCTCGTGGGCACGGTGGGAAATGTAGTTCTTCTACCCAAGACGCGCCCTGGAGCACTTGGTCTTCTGAGAAATTTCCGCGCTAAAAAGGCACAAAGGGAAGAGGTGTTACAGGAGCACTTAGAGGCACACAGCGCCGGAAAACGCATCCGCTCCCTCTGAGAGCAGTTCCATGCCGGAACTCTGTAGATGGCTTCCAAATGTTCACTCAATTTCAGGGAAGGAAAGGAGCCAACTAACTTCCTGACCCCGTTTCTACAAAAAAGGCTGCATTCTGAGGGGAACGGGTCAGGGGTTTGGAATGAGGTGAGCCCTTGCCTGCTTTGTGGTTCTAGACATGTCACTTCAGCCCCCTGCGCCTCAGTTGTTTCAACTTTACTACAAATTGCTATGAGGTCCTAAAAATACCGCTTCACTCCACGGTAGGTGTGGAGATTCACTGCAACAGCTTGAGTTAATTAAAAAAACAAAAAAAAAACTTAATCCAAGTTGCTGTCCGAGTGCTTTTTTCACACTGGCTGCCATAGGAAAGCTCTACTTTGATGTTAAAACAGTTCCTGAAACTCAACACTCTCTAAAACGGAACTCTTTTACACTCCTCCCTGAATCAGGCTTCTCATTCTGCCTTCTTCCCAGACTACACTTTGGAGTAGCAACCGTGTCACCTCATCCAGTTGTTTCTTTCCTTCAGATGTTTCTCAAACGCATCCATCGTCCTCTTGAGCCTCATCACTTCCTTCCTCAGCTAAAGGTCTCTTTCAGAATAGGCTCTGGGAACATCCTGGCCATCACTTTCCAGGCTTTTTAACAGCTGCAGCTTTACATTTGCTTGTGAGGTCGCTTCTGATTTGTAGCACTACCAATCTCAAGTGACAGACTTTCCTATGCAAGAAACGTAACATTTTTTTTTCCTATGACAAGTTAATTTCATTTCAACTCTCCCTCCATCTGAGTGGTGGAAGCAGTCTCCTGCAGTTCAGGGTTCTTCCCACCCTTGATTTACAGGTTGTAAATACATTTTGGAAAATTAACATAGGGCCAAAGGAGGGGTGTGAGGAGTGGAGGGGAGAATTCCTCTAATCCTCAGTATCAGTTGTTTGAGCTACATCACCTGCCTAATCCTCTGTCATTTGTCCACACAGTTTGCCACCAAATCTACCTAGGAAATGGAGCTGCTTCTGGGTTATTGGCCAATGTGTCCCCTTGCGTCCTAAGCAGCAGCAGCCTTGGCCTGTGAGAACAAGGTGTAGAGAGTTCCTTTCTCAGGGACCCACCGACCATCCCTTTCTCCCTCTCTCTCCCTTCTCAGCTAGGGAATCTATCTCCTCTGTGGGGAGGTTGAGATTGGGAGAGGTGGGAAGGAATCTGAGATCAAGTTCTTGCCTATATTTACTCTGAAATCAATTATTACCCTGAATCCTTTCTATCCCTTAGAGTCTAGCTTTTGAAACTCAAATTCTTGAAAGGCCTCCCTTTTTCTTCCATTCTTTTGTCACAGCCATAAGCTCTCCATGCGGGACTTGGTGACAAGTTTCTCTCTAGTTTTGCTCACACAGTGGTAACCCCAATGCCCTAGTAGTACAGTGCCTGACTGGCACACAGTGGGTACTCAGTAAAGATTTGGCCAACAGATAAATGACTGGGTCTCTCTCCCTCAAGTCTGCCCCTCTGCAACACAATCAGTACGTGTCGTCCACAGGAATCTTCTGGAAGTGCAGTCATCACTCCGTAGCTCAAGTGCTGTTCTGCTGCCAGCCCAATCAAGTCTAACCACCTCCGGTTCAAGGCCCCACCTAAACAGATCCATTGTATTTCCTACCACATACAAATACTTAAGATGCATGGCCTGTCAGGCAGCTTGGCATTTAACCAACAATAGTTGTGAAGTTCTTGCCATGTGTCAGGCACTGCTAGTCTCAGAAACAACAGTGATCAGAACAACTATGGTAGCTGTCATCAGGGAGTTTATAGTTTAGCAGAGAACCCAGACATCAGACAGATACTTGGTAAACTGAATGATTTGAGTCATCCCAAGTGGCTCAGGGTGTGGTGGGGATTAAACATCAGTGAGAGGTCAAGAAAAAGGCTCCAGAGGAAGCACCATTTGAGGTGAGTTTGAAGTTTAGTTTGGAGAGAATGGGAGAGGAAGGGAAGGGAGGGAGTTGAGGGAAGTGTTCCAGGGAAAAGTACTGGTACGAGCCAGTGGGGGTAAGTTTGAGGACTTGAAAAGCCAGGGTGGTGGTGGTGGGAAGATGCGGTGAAACTGTGGAGGTCTGCATGGGCTAGATGATGAGGGACTTGGTGACAAGTTTCCTCTGCCAGAACCGCTGTCCTCATTCATGTCTCAGCAAAAATGTCACCTCCTCAGAGATGCCCTCCCTGAATTCCCTGCCTGAAGAAGCCTGTTTCTCCAATCCACACCACCTCCTACCCACCTTACTCTGATTTTATTCTTAGCACTCACCACTTTCTGGAATTTTCTTCCTATGTTGATTGTCTATGTACTCCTCCTCTCCACCTCCAATAGAATGTAAGCTCCAAGAGAGCAGAAACCTTGTCTTTCCTTGTTCACCATTTGTATCTCCAGTTATCAGAATGGAGCCTGACACCTAGTAGTCATCCAATCAATATTTGTTGAATGAATGAAAAGACGAGAGTAGTGGGCATAGATTTTCACTGAAAGTAGATCACTGGCTGTTCTGTGGAAAGTGGATTCGAGGGAGGTCAGGTTGGAAGCAAGATCAATTAGAATGTTATTTTATTGGTGCAGGGGAGAGATAATAGTAGTTTGGACAACCTTGTTTGGCTTTAGGGATAATGATGACAAGCATGAATATTTATCTTGTACTTACTATGTGCCAGGCTTAGTTCAAAGCACTTTTTAAATATTAACTTCTCAAAACTACCCTATGAGTTTGTTCAACCCTTGTTTTCGTCACTCCTGGTTTTACAGATGAGGGAATTCAGGCAGAGACATTCATCCAGTTTACTAACTGGAGCTGGGATGAGAACACACACAATCTGATTTCAGAGTCCGTGCTCTTGGCCACTGTGCCATATCATACCTGCAAGTTTTAATGCTTCTCTGCAAGTCTTTGCTTATGCCATTCCTCCTCTTACCTTGAATCCTTTCTATCCCTTAGGATCTGGCTTTTGCGTTCTCTTGTATGCGTTCTCTTGTATCTGAATATTGCCCACATGTCAAAGTCCAGGTCATTCACACCTGTCTGTGTGATCACAGACACACAGACCACACCTGTCTGTCCCCTGCTGTGTCTGGATGCCTGATAGACCACACATGTTCTGGACCTGATTCCCAAGAGCTATCTTACAGATACCCACAAAGAACCCTACACGATCTGAGCTGGAGGGGACCTACAACTCATGTAGGAAAGGGGCAGAGAAGCTGATAACTTGCCTAAGAACATAGAGCAAACTGGTAGTAGAGGCAGTGTTGATTTCTCAACCCATCTGTATCTGCGCTTTCTTCTGCGGGTCACCTAGCAGTGTCTCTCAAAGGATAGTCTGAGAAACACTTGCTTCAGAATCACATGGGACATGCTCTGAAAATGCAGACTTTCTAAGTCAGAGCTTAGGAATATGGTTTTGAACAAGTTCATTAGGAAATGCTCGTGCGGACCAAAGTTTGCAAGACCGCGGTGCCACCGGCCAGCGCAGTGGCGGTCTCAAAAGACGTGTTGCCGAAATGCAGCGGCTTTAAATTCCCACTGCATTGTGGGAAATGTAGTTTCGGACCGCCTCCGCAGTGAGCGCGTTACGGAAGGAACCGAGTCGGTCCGGAAATAGCCGAGTGTTCCCTGGCGGGCCCTTTCCTGCCCGCTTGCATTCTGGGAAAGGGCTGTTTCCGTTAGGTGCTGCAGGCTGGGGCCCGCTACCGACCGGCCGTAGTCCCACGTGAAGCCCTACGCGAGCATCGCTCGGCGGGGCAGCTCTCCGCTCGCCGCAGAGCGTCCCGGAAGCAGCGGGGCACCAGAAGTGGTCTGCGGTTGCTCTGAATCTAATCCCAGAGCCCGGTGTGAGGCGCCCTGCAGCGCAGCGACGGCGCCATGTCCCTAATCTGCTCGAGTGAGTATCGGCTGCGGCCGATCGCGGATTGCAGGTGGTCCGAGAGTTGAGCGGGGGGGATTTGCGGACCGCTGCAGCGCCGGGGTCGGGGCGGAGGTGATATCAGTGCTCCTGGGAAGCAGGGCGGCGGCCTGTCAGTACGGGGGTCCTCCTCCTCAGCGTGGGGTGCATTTGCGCACGGCTTCGCAGTTTACATGACGCCTTAAGTTTATTGTCGCAGCCATCATTGAGGCCAACCACCTCGTTTACGCAGTAGAACTGAGGCCTGGGTAGAGGGAGCTGGTGCAGGGAAACAGCTCTGGTATAGGAATCGGGCTTGTGCAAGGATCTGTCTCCGATTGGCTTTGTGATCTGGTGCAAGGTTCTGGGCCTCACTTTCGCCACCTGCAGAATGAGGGCATTGCACTGGGTGTTGTCTGAGGTCCCGCTCTGGTAGTCAGAGCTTCTGCAGTTTGCGAAGGTCACACAGTGAGTTAGGGGCAGTGACAGGGCTGGAAGCCAGGTCTCTGGTACCCA